AGAAATTGATGTTCAAAAGACTATGAGGCATTTAGGTATACATATTCCAACTAAATTGAAAAACTGAAAGAACAGAATTTTAAAATATTAAAACAAGCAATTATAAATAAGTTTGATGGTTTAAGGAAAATTGGATTGTCACGGTTTAGCAGGATTGCAGCATGTAAAATGAAGATACTACGGAAGATAAATTTTCTATTTATAATGCTACCGATAAAGATTAGCAAAGAAGAATTAAAGAACTGGCAAAGCATGAATAATAAATTTTGTAATGGAAATGAGAAGTCAAGGATTAATAAATAGAGATGGTTTAATCTCAAAAAATTGGAGGGTTAGGACTTCTCAATTTATTATATTGCCAATTAATTAAGGCATGTTCCAAATATTAGATCTCAGTCCAACAAACTAATTTGGTTGAATCAGGAAACACAAGAATTGCATTTGAACCTGGTAGATATTATTTTCATAAAAGATAATAAAAATATAGTAAACAGCATAGAAAATCCCTTCCTTAAAAATATGATGCTAATTTGGAATAGATATAGAAAAATACTTGTCCCACCAGTTTCCCCATTACATCCAGTGACAGAGTTGGAGAAATTCCCAGGAAACCGAAAAGAATTGATTGAGAAACTATTAAGAGAGGCGTTATTGAATTAAAGCATTGGTTAGGAAAAAAAATAAACAAATAAAAAGTCATAGGTGAAGATAAAATATCTCAACATCGTATTATTCAGTTAGAAAAGTGGACAAAGAACTCTGAGTGTAAAAGAAATGGTAAATGTAAAGAATTTACAAAATATGCAGGGAACATGCTACAAAAGGAAAATGAAGATCGAAACAATGTAGTAAAGGTTGTGGTGATGTATAATATATTCTTGGAAGCAGAAGATCAAGAGGACTTACTTAAATTGTTATGGGAAATCTGTGGAACATTTGAATATTGAATTCTATGTCAGTAAGAATTAAAGAAAATTGTTATAAGGTTTCTTGAAGATGGTACTTAACTATAGTGAAATGAAGTTAAATAGAAGTACTGTAAAATAAAGTTAAATAGAAGGTAATTATTCTAAGAAGGGCTGAAGGGGGTGCCAGAAAGTGGGTACTTATTTTCATATGTGGTGGGAATGTGAGTATCTGGGGAAATTTATTGATTTTGTATTTATAAAGGGGATTAATAAAGGAGACATTGTGTAGGCATCCTTCAGTCTCGAGAGATTGTGGTAACATACTCTGAATAGAGGACTTGGAACAGCATCTAGTGTGGCTGAGAAGGCCAATTCGAGAATGACAATCCCTTCCACATTGAAGACAAATACAAGCTGTCCCCTGTCCAGCTGCCTGATTTTGCTGGTTTCAGGACTGCTGGGCTTCACAAAGGGTAAATGGCATAGATGATTATTTCCAAATGGTCCCAGTGGGGAGGAACATTGTTTATTTAGATATTTATTTATTAGATGTATGATTTTTTTTGGTTTTGTTTTTACAAAAAAAAGTGGAATTGATAGGGATATACATCAGTTCATTAGTTCGGTCCATCTAGCTCAGGACTGTTTGTAACGATTGGGAGCAGCTCTCCAGGGTTTTAAAAGAGGAACCTTTCAGAGCCTTCCTTGGAAATGCCAGCTCTACATGCAAAGAATTTGGTCTGTGAATGAGCTACAGCCTTGCCACACCCTTTCCTTGTATGTGCTCAGCTTTGAGATCCATTTTCCCAGCTTTCCAAGGATCTCCTAGATACAAAATGTTCTTAGGGTTGTACAAACTTTAGGATTGTTCAGACTGCCCAGGGAGAAGAGATAGGCTGCCTCTTCTCCTGGTAAGCACTGAGTGGGTTTAATTTCTGATTCATGGCTCCGATTATCTCCAACATCAAAGCAGTATGCCTCTCTGCATTTCTGGCCAGCCGTTTGCTTCTCATAGGTACCTATTTGGCCACTGTGTAAACTAGACAAGTCCTTTCCCATCCAACATAAAGCTCCTTCTGTTTTCAAAGATGTTTGCTGTTTTCCCCCAAAATGTTGGTGAATCAGAATACATTATAGAATTGGCAGCAGAATTGTTAGTTTGGAGATTGTAATATGCTCTCCTTTAATGTCTGTATTGAGTAGGTCAGCCTAGGACCTAGAAGGTAGATGTAATTTGGCTTATGAACCTCTTGCTGTGTTTGTGTCGATGCAAACGTGGAAATTTGTATGTATACTTTCCTTCAATATGGATGTATAACAGATTCACTCAAGACAAAGATACTAGAGATCTACCTTGTACGAAAACAGACACAGAATGTTGAAAGAAAATGAATCAGGGAAGCTTTCCCCAAGCAGTGCTGTTGAGTTATGTTTGACTACTGTACAGTCCCCACCAATCCAGGCAGCAGAGCTATTTCTGTGCTGGCTAGGGCAGAGGGAAGCTGCAGTCTAGTGCCTTTGGAGGGCATTAGATTGATAAAAGTTATATTTAGGAAGGGCTCACGGTTAGGAGAATGGGAGATAACATGTTCATATCAATAGTCCACAAGTGGGAATGGGAATAGGGTGGGGGAGGAAAAGGGCAGGCGGCAAAGAGGTAAAGCAAATGAAACATTACTTGATAGTTGGAGAGAGCACTCTTACCTGTCTAGGCAGATTGGGGCAAAGAGGGAGCAGAGGAAGATCCTGGCATCTGGGTGGCACTCTCTGGCTAACAAGGGCAGCCAGCTGGTAGACTGCTGGATTGCTTCAGGCATGGTGTCATGATCCAACAGGTTGGGGAGCCTCATTTCGGTATACCCAATGTCATAACACAAAGCCATGCTTCTTGGAATGGATGTGCATCTGGAAGGACTTCTTCGGTAGCTTCCAAAAGCTCCAGCAAAATCCCAGCTTAGCAAATATCCCAAGAGGACTAGAAGTTGCTGTTGTGTGGGGGGCATAGTGGGACTTCAGTGAAATGCTGTTTTTTTCCCAACTCTCTGGAAATGCTCTGTCCCAGAAAAAATGTGGTGGCTTAAATTCTGTCTTCCCAAACTAGACTGAGCAAGTCCTGATGGGATTCCTTTATTATAGCAAAGAGGCCACCTCCATAGGAATACATTCTTATTTGTCAACCTTTCCCCCCTTTCCCAATCCCCCCACCAGGATTTTGGATTTGGACAGAGGCTGCGGCTTAGACAAGCAGGTGTTGAAATGAGGGCAATCAAATCAGGTTGAATGGTCCCCCACAAACAAATTTCTTGGAGTTCTGATTGAATCTTTGTTTGAGAATTGCTTGAGCCCACCCCTTTTTTGCCTGGCAGGGAATTAGTAATTATTTTATAAACATCACAGTTTTCCTCTCCTTTGTGTTTTGTGGCAAAGCAATCACAAAGTTAATTAAGAAACATTTGTTTAGCTCCAGCCATTGTTAAAGAAGCAATAGGGTGGGTCAACCCCCGCCCCTTCTGACTGATAACTATTATGAAGATCTCCCCTTCCAGTTTTCATAGGCTGTTTGTAATCTTGTAGGTCAATGTTTACACACAGGATGGAGTTGGCAAACAGTTCTATCTCATAATCATGCCACAGGAAATTAATTGTGTTTAGTGGTGTTTTGGCATGAAATGGGCTGCTGTGATATGAGTGGATCACTATTCCTTGATAACTGTGAGAAACATTTACTGTCACGTCATAACAATTTAATGTAATGTATAAATACTTATCCCATTGGCTAGCAGCTGTAGAGAGGTGTATTCTAAGAGAATTAAAAGGTAGTCTCTTTACTATAATAATGCATTCTTTCTTACAGGTTTATCTGTCTGCTATGCTGTCTGCTTTTCTGATTCCTGTAAATCAGACAAGTTTCTCAGTTACTTCCTTTTCCAAATAGTTAAAGCATAAATTCTTAACATTACAATACTTAAAATTACAGCTTAATAAGAAAAGCTTTTCATTGTAATTGTTAACTGCTTTTATAATTTACAGGATATGACATCTCAATAACTGTAGGTGAAGAATATCACATGGTTTAAGCCTTGTGTATCTTGTGAAAGGACCATAAAAAGCAACTATTTCCATTAATCTTAAAAAATAGAAAGGTAACAATTAACCTTTTCAAAATTATATAACTATAATGTAAACTACCTTTTGATGGGTGCTTTGGAATTTTGACTCTAATTAATTCCTTTTAAAACATTATTTCCCAAGCTCTGGTTAAAGCTTTTAGCTGCATGTGTTAAATACCTTTGCATCTTCTTTTAGTGTGCTCAGTGTAGCATAAGAGATAAAAAGCTGTTTTAGATTTGACTTCAAATTCCATGTCAACCAAGGAGTTGTGGAAGTTGCTGCCTCTACGCCACAGACATCTATCTGTAATTTTAGGACAATGAAAGTTGTTTCCAGAATAAACAAGAGACAAGCAGAAAAGTATTTGAGGATTACAAAGTGCTAAATTTTAATCATTTTAAATTTTGCCTGGTAGAGTAATTCAACACACTAAACATGGGGAGGGAGTAGCTGCCATTACACTGGTGGTGCTGTAGTTATATATGATGTACGTCCAGCTTGGGAATGCATAGCAAGAAAAGTCTCAAATGTTCCCTCAGCATACCAAGTAAGGGATCATAGTAGCAACAGTATACATAAGCCATAACAACAAAGGGAACAAATAAATTCAGGTCAGTGTTGGCACACCTCCAACATATTCTGCTGTGTCACAACATGCCTGACATGCAAAATAACACAACAGTATCTGCAGTTCATTGGTCCAGGTTTCTCAGCCAGCAGTGACCGAGCATTGCCACTCCCAAGGCATCCTTCTAGGCAGGGGTTCTAAACTCTTTATGCCCTACAAAGCCAAAGAGTAGTTTAGAGCACAACAGGATGAACTACAATGGACAGAAAGGAGGAAGCAGTTACCTCAAATGCTCATTGCTACCTGCATGCATTATCAGCTGAAGTGGGCCTGTGTGGCTACTTCTGTTTTTCTTTTTTGGTTTTCTCTTCACGTTGAAGAGTTCACATTTCTCTTTCTTTCTCCAATGGTAGAAGTTCCAGAGTTCCTGACTGAAGATGAATGTAAATTAATTATCCACTTGGCTCAGCTGAAAGGATTACAGAAAAGCCAGATTTTGCCAACAGAAGAGTATGAAGAAGCTATGGAAATGATAGACATCAGCCAGATGGACATGTTTAATCTGCTAGATCACAATCAAGATGGACAGTTGCAGCTCAAGGAGGTATTTCAAGTTGGATGGCAGATTGTTCTTTGAGAGACACAGGCCATGTTGAGATGTAATATTAAAAAGAGATTTATACTGGAGTGACAAACTTAATGAGCTTTCAGCTTATGTGCATCCTTCATTTTTCCTCCATTCCATCATGAGAAGTTCAAAAGGATGTGCTTTAAACTAGCCATGGTTTATTATTATGTCAAAGCTTGGATAAACCGTGGTTAAAATTATCCATAGTTTGCTGTCCTCTGAAGATGCCGGCCACAGAGACTGGCAAAACGTTAGGAAGAACCACCTTCAGAACACAGCCAAGAAGCCCAAAAAACCCACAACAACCATTAGATCCCCGCCGTGAAAGCCTTTGCGAATACATTATCCATAGTTTGTTGAAACAAGAGAACGGCAGATTGTATTTAAGATATAAAACAAAAGTGTGTTTAATATATTCGCGAAGGCTCTCACGGCCAGGATCTAATGGTTGTTGTGGGTTTTCGGGCTCTTTGGCCGTGTTCTGAAGGTTGTTCTTCCTAACGTTTGCCAGTCTCTGTGGCCGACAGGAAGAACAACCTTCAGAACACAGCCAAAGAGCCTGAAAAACCCACACAACCAAAAGTGTGTTTATTTGAAAAAAGGGAATTGTTTCTGATTTTCTTCTCATGGCCATGCCTTAGGAAAAAAGGACAGCTCATGAGCCTGAGGTCCTCCTAATCTTGTTCCTGTAGTACTATTCATTGTCTACAAAAATTGTATACAAATAAGGCAAACTGTAAAACTCTGGACATTTCTGTATATAGAACTGAAATATTTTAAATCTAATGGTGAATAATCAGACATATAATTCACATGCAGTCTGTTTGACAGCATCTCAGACAACAAATAGAAAAGGGTCCCAAAGGATATGTTTCATCTGTCTTAAAAAACATTGGCCTGCTCTAATGCAGCTGGGGCCCTTTTTCAACTATGACCAGCACTTGACCATAACTATGCTTGCTTTATTGATGAAAAAGAAACGATGTTGGTTGTTTAACTTTCAGGTCAGTAGGCCTCCCAAGATAGGTTTCAGTTAACAGTGCTTGCAATTAACTACTACTGGATTTCCAAGTGATGCAAAGAATTGGTATTGTCTCAGACACTGCATACAGCAATGTCATAAAGGTAAAGGTAAAGATTCCCCTTGACAATTTTTGTCCAGTCGTGTCCGACTCTAGGGGGGTGGTGCTCATCCCCGTTTCCAAGCCATAGAGCCAGCCAGCGTTTTGCCCAAAGATAATCTTCCGTGGTCACATGGCCAGTGCGACTTAGACACGGAACGCTGTTACCTTCCCACCGAGGTGGTCCCTATTTATCTACTTGCATTTGCATGCTTTCGAACCGCTAGGATGGCAGGAGCTGGGACAAGTGACAGGCGCTCACTCTGTCACGTGGATTCAATCTTACAACTGCTTGGTCTTCTGACCCTGCAGCACAGGCTTCTGAGGTTTAGCCCACAGCGCCACCACGTCATAGTTCCATTTTATTACCTGAATAACATCTGTACAGTGGGGTCTTGACTTGAGAACTTAATCCGTATTGGAAGGTGGTTCTCAAGTCAAAAATTCTGTAGGTCAAGTCTCCATTGACCTACAGTGCATTGAAAACCGATTAATCCCGTAACAGGCCGTTTTTGTTCCATTTTGGTTTTTTTCTGGTCTGTAAGTCACTTCTCAGGCTGCAAGTCAAACCTAAATTTTGCGGCCAGAGAAGGTTGTAACTCAAAAAGTCTGTAAGTCAAGCCATCTGTAAGTCAAGGGTCCACTGTATGCTTCTGAATTCCAATAAAGCTTGTTCTTCTTTCATCAGTTGGTGACTCGCACTAAATGTGACAACCATCTTCTACTGCAAGATATTTTTATGGCTGACGTGGAAGTTCTGTTTCTGGTGGTTTATCACTGGTCATTGTAGTCTTTTATGCAGTCCTTGATGCTATCATTAAGAGATGAATATGTGTGTATGAATTCATGACCTGTTTTTCGATGGCTAGAGTTCACTTGAAGGCCTGTTTCATGGCAGTAGCTGCTGCCGTTGTGTCTGCACAAAGTCATCCAGTGGAGTTGTTTGGAGTGGTCAGGGGCTTAATACATGCCCCACCAAAAGAACAGGATGTTGACCACTCACCAATCCACTGAGAGGAATTCACACAACACTTTGAAAGCAAAGAGTTGCATCCACAAGACCTGTACAGTATACAAGTTAGGATGGATCTAACTTGTATACTGTACAGATCTTGTGGATGCAACTCTGGCCCCTGCCAGTCCCGTTATCATGGATATATTTTAGGTGGTGCAGCCTGATGATGTGGACAGAATTCTTGGAGAGGTTAATGTCACTGCATTTATGCTAGACCCTTGCCCATCCTCACTTATAAAAGCAGCTGGAGGAGGAATGGGCAAGTGGGTAAGGGAGATCCCAACATGTTTAAAGGAGGCGTTAACAAAGCCATTATCAAAAGGTCCTCCCTGGATCCCACTTTACTGGACAACTATTAGCCAGTCTCAAATATTCCATTTCAGGATAAAATACTGGTTTCTCAGCTCCAAGGATCCTTGGAGGAAGTGGATTATCTCATTTCAACTTGGTTTCTGGTCTGCCTGTGGGACAGAGACAGCTTTGATTGCCAGCCAGTCTCAAATATTCCATTTCAGGATAAGGTACTGGTTTCTCAGCTCCAAACATCCTTGGAGGAAGTGGATTATCTAGACTCATTTCAACTTGGTTTCAGGTCTGGCTGTGTGACAAAGACAGCTTTGATTGCCTTGATGGGTGACCCACACATCAGGAATTATACAGTATCACTGTTGGCTCTGCTTTTTCAGTAGTTGGTTCTCCAGTGGCTTTTGATACTGTCGACCAGGGTATCCTTTTGGACCATCTCTCTGGGATGGGATGCAGAGGCATAGATTTACAGTGATGCTGGTCCTTCTTGGAAAGGAGAACTCCGAAGGTAGGGCTGGGGGACTCCTGTTTGATTCCCTGGTCGTTGGCCTCTGGCATTCCCCAGGGTTCTGTTTAGTCCCACATGCTTTTTAACATCTACATGAAACCTGTGGAAGAGGTTGTCCAGAGTTTTATTGTTTGGTGTCACCAGCGTATTGACGATACCCAGCTCTTTTTTTCTCCTTTCCATCCAATTCCAAGGAAGCCATCTTGGCTCTAAACCAGAGCCTGATATCAGTAGTGGGCTGCATGAGGGCAAACAAACTGAAACTTAATTCAAGACAGAGGTGCTCCTAGTCAATCAGAAGGCAGTTGAGGGAATAGAAATACAATTTGTGCTGGATGGGATTACACGTCCTCTGAAAATGTAGGGTTGCAACTTGGGTGTACTCCTGGATTCATCCCTGAGCCCGGATGTCCAGGTTTTCGTGGTGGCCAGGAGTGCTTTTGCAGATAAAATAGGTATGCCAGCTGCACCCATTCCTTGAGATGACTGATTTGGTTGCAGTGACACATGCCTTCATTACATCCCACTTGGATTACTGTAATGCGCCCTGTGCAGGGCTTCCTTTGAAGATGGTTCAGAAACTTCAGCTGGTTCAAAATGTAGCAGCCAGACTGGTGACTGGGGCCAGTTATAGGGAACATAAAATGCTCCTGCTACAACAAATGCACTGCTACCAGTCCATTTCTGGGCCCAATTCAAAGTGCTGGTCATTTCCTATAAAACCATATATATCTTGGGTCCAGGCTACCTGAAGGACCATATCTCTCCATATGAGCCTTCTTGGCACTTAAGATCATCACATCCTCTTGGTCCCATTGCCAGCATAGGCACAGTTGATGGGGACAGTAGAGAGAGGGCCTTCTTTGTGGCAGCTCCCGGGTTATGGAATGCTTTCCCTCAGAAGGTCAGATTTGCGTCCCTTTTATTTTCCCATTGACAGCGGAAGACCCACTTTTTCAGGCAGGCTTTTAACAATCATCTGAATGCCATTTATTAGTTAAGATAGTTTTTAATGTTTTAATGTTTTACATATTTTTAATTATTCAATGTATTTTAATTCTGTTCTTTTTAATACTCTGAGCTGCCTTGAGTCCTCTTATCAAGAGAAAGGCTGCCTATAAATAAGACAAATAATAATGACCACCACAACCTCAGGACAAATTCAAACATGCATAACATGCATGCATGTCTTCGGTATTATCTTCTTTAGATAACTGCCAAATGATGACAGGCTATTTTAGCATTTGAAATCTAGATATAAATTGGTTTACCATATGATCCTGGGAAAATCACTTGGGCCTTCTATGCTCCAGAATTTTCAGTGCAAAATGTTTTTGCAGATGAAGTTATGCCCCACCTTTTATCCAGAAAGTTTCCTGGGGTGGCTTACCATATAGGCAATAAGGAAGTCCTTGCCCTCAGATGTAACAATCTATAATGCAAAGATGATATACAGGAAGAAAAGTGGAGTTCAGTAATTAGCTGTCCTTCTTCCTTTATAGCCAGAACAGTGGCAGCTACATGCCCTGTCCTATCTGTCATCTCTGCTCATGTGAGCTAAGAAAAGAGACAATTTGTCAATCTCTAATTTTGCTTTTTTTATCACTGGTTGTTTAGAAAGTGATATATTTATGATTTCAGGTGTTGACACATACCCGTCTAGGAAATGGCAGATGGATGACACCAGAGAGCATCCGGGAGATGTACACTGCTGTAAAAGCAGATCCAGATGGCAATGGTAAGATAGAATTAACTCTGCCTTCTAATGCTGTGCACAGTTCCTTCCTTGTTGGTCAAGTAGATCGGAATATTAATCCAGTAAAATTTAAGCTCCTAAAATCACAACAGTCTGTAAGAGGCTGCAAAAACAGATTTATTCAGCATTTTAACTATCTCTCCCTACCAGATGCTTTACAGGAAATACTAGAAAAAATATTTGCAATAGATAAGCAGGGCAGGGCTATTAATGATAGGATGTTTTGAACATGGTTGTTGTTTTTTCGTACATGATGTTAGGTTGCAGCGAACACAAGTTAACCATAATAGGGTTTTCAAGGTATGTGAGATGTTTAAGGATTGGTTTTGCCGGTGCCAACACCACCCCCAGCCAAGGAATTTCCATGATGAAGCAGGGATTTGAACCCAGGCCTCCTACGTCCTAGTCTGCCATGCTATCTGCTATACCACACTGACTCTCATTAACTTATAGGGTCACCATAAGTCAGAAGTAGCTTGATGGCACATGACAGCAAAGTGGGTGAAATCTCCAAAGGAGGTAATCTCTTACTTGGATGATTGTAGTGCACTTTACATACATTTTACACTGGAAATTACAGTCAGTGCAAATTACAGCTGCCAGGATGCTGCCATGGACAGCTGTCTCTCAGACTAGGTTGGGCAAAATGGGGACATCCAAACTTTGTTCATCTGATCATAGCCAATGGCCAGGAATGTGAAGAATTTCTCTGATAGTATTAGGGAAGGTACATGCAGCAATGATGTGAGGTAACACCTTTTCGATGGTGGCAACCTGGCTATGAAATTTTCTTTCCCAAAAGGTATTCTTGGTGTCAATGTCATTACTATTTTCGCACAGGACTGCAATTCATAAGGCATTTATAAGCAGTGAATTGTCATTGCAATGTACTCCTCTACTGATTATTTATTTGGATGTATTAAATACTGGAGTTTAGTTGTTGATTTTAACAATGTTGTTACATACCTTGTAATGTTCACAAAATGTTATGTATAAATTGCCCAGAATCACGCTGATTAGTTCTGCCCGTGTTAGTCCAATAGCATAAATGTTGCTGTCATTTATTTATTTACTCAGATTCCTTATATGCCACTTTTCAACCTATAAGAGACCCAAGGCAGCTCATAACAGGTAGAATAAGAAATTTTAAAACACTACATAAATATTCCAAATTATTTTTTAAAAAACAGTTAAACGTATCTTAAGATTAAAATAATATAAAAGCAATTAAAAACATTTAAAACCTATAAGTTAAAAAAAACAACATTATTGGGATAACTTACTGCTCATGTTCCTTCCAGTAAGAACAGACTTATAGTGGCTCTTACAGGGCTTTAAAGGTAAGCGAGTTATTGACGGAGTGGTTTTATCAGTTCCACACAATGTGTTTCCATGGCTGAGCAGGGAATTGAACCCAGGCCTCCTGAGTCCTAGTCCATCGCTCTGTCTACTACACCACACTAGATAACTAATAGCATTAATAACAACAGCATATGATCACTAGTTAATAAATTGCTCTCTGTATCTCACATCATGCACCAACTCATTAAACTGGTGCATGGTGAAGGGTTTAAATGGCAAAGAGGAGGAACTGTTGATAGGGCTGCATCAGCTGATTGTAAAAGATGATTGTCTTATGATGATAGATGAGAGGCATGCCAAATGCTTATACTTAGTGACAAAATGCACGCAGTATGTGCATCAAAGCATGCTTCTTTTCTTTCAATGGTACAAGATTGCCTGGAGATATATTCTGCTTCTCATTTTCTTCCAATGGCTTTGGCACTGATTTTAAACCTATTTTAAGTATAAAAGCATAGAACTGTAGAGTTGAAAGGGTTTCCAAAGGGTCAACCCTCTGCCAAGACAGAAAATTTTAGTAAAGCTTCTCTGACAGGTTGATCATCCAACCTCAATTTGAAATCCCCCAATGAAGGACAGCCCACCATCTCTTCGAGCACTCTGTTTACCCTGTCAAACAAGTATTACAGTTAGGAAATTGTTCCTAAAGTTTAGTCAAAACTTTTTTTTCCTTGTAATTTTAGTTCATTTACTTGGGTTCTACCCTCCTGAGCCATAAAGAAGCAGCTTATTCCTTCTTATGCATGGCAGTCTTTATATTTTTGAAATAGCTATCCTATCACCTCTCAACCTCCTGTTCTCTGATCTGAACATATCCAACTTTTTCAACTGTTCCTCCTGATGCTTGTTTTTGAGACCTTTTACTGTTTTGATCACCTTCCTCTGGAAAACATTTCAGCTAGTAATATCCATTATAAAACTCTGCTTCAAGCAGATCTAATATTTAGGGCCCGAACTATGTGGTGTTCCAAGTTCTATTAACTCGTCATTTAGTCGTTTAGTCGTGTCCGACTCTTCGTGACCCCATGGACCAGAGCACGCCAGGCCTCCTATCTTCCACTGCCTCCCGGAGTTGTGTCAAATTCATGTTGGTTGCTTCGCAGACACTGTCCAGCCATCTCATCCTCGGACGTCCCCTTCTCCTCTTGCCGTCACACTTTCCTAACATCAAGTTTTTTTCCTAGGAGTCTAGAGAGTGAGAAAGAGAGAGAGAGAGAGAGAGAGAGAGAGATTAATCCATTTCCAGTCTGCTCCTCATTCTGATGTTCCTTCTGGTCTCTGATGGGCAGTTAGGTGCAGAGACCATTTCCTAACTATCCCTTCTACTTTATGATAGAGTCTGTATGGGTTTCAGGAAGCTTCTAGCATCCTCCTAGTTCCCTGAGATTGCCTGCTGACCCAGATGTACACTGTGACCTCTCCTGTAATTAGAATGCCTTCAGTTGAACGCTTCTCCATTTCCTAATCAAATTAAATAAACTGGCAAACTGTGCACCTGCCTTGCCAGCTTGCCTGATGATCTGCGCAGCCTTGGAGAGCTTGCTTTGGGGCTGGCAAGAGTCTTTTTTGTGAATGGAGAACAGGGCTCCAATTCCGGTTGGTAGGCCTACGCCCCAGGGACCTTTGTCTTTGCTTGTGACGTCTTTTGGCAGAGGGCAGGAAGGATACACTCTTTGTGAGTTTTCAAAGACTGTAAACATCACTGAACCAAAGAGCTTCAATTAAGGTCTCAGGGCTTCGTTTGGCAGCCAGGGTGGCCTTACTTCCCAAGTGCTGCTTTCATTGTCAGTAGTGTGGCCCCAAGAAAGCCAGAGGTCATAACCTGGATGTAGTAATAGATCATGGGAGGCTGACGGTAATCAAAGAAAAGCAAAAGAGAAATTGTGTGCATGCACTGGAAGTAAACCACAGTCATGATTGTCCTAAGTTGACCTCTCTTTAGAGTTTATTCCTTTTCTTTTCTTTTCACAATTAACTGTGACTAGAGCTATTGTTCTGCTATTCCTGTGTGTGTGTGGTGTTTTCCTGCTCTGATATCTAGAATAGCATTTGGGTTTATGTTTGTTTATAAAACCAGCCTTTAGCTCCATTGAGCAATAAGGCTTAAATGAGAAACATGCAAATTATCACATGAGCAGTGTTGCTGTGACCTAAATGGCCAGCCAGTCCTTTCAGCTAAGGTTGGGAGAGCATTTCCCCCCCCCCCCCCGATGGGCTTTCCAGAGTAATCTCTACATCTCCACAACAACCTCATAAAGTGTGTTTGGTGACTGTCATTCACCATGATAGTAGACTTCCCTGATTAATGAACCACAGTTTCTCATTTTATCTCATTTGAAAAGACTGTCCCCAGTGAGTTTTCCATTTCATCCAACCACTAGACAGGGCTACCAATTTGACTTTTATTGAACATTTAACCTATCAAAACACCTAAATTTAATCTTGTATTTTGCTAACATTAGAACTGCATTTTGCTTCATCTATTTCTGCTACAAGCTAACAAAAGGGACTGTGTTCCCCACTAAAGGCAATGGACAACTCCATAAGGGAGCCAAGCCAGCCTTTTATCTGCACGGAGATGAGAGACTGCAGGAGGAGGGCAATAAGGATGATCACCGAGCTGGAAATCAAGCCCTGTGAGGATAGACTGAAAGCACTGGGCATGTTTAGCCTTGAAAAAAGAAGACTGGGGGGGGGAGATATGAAGTCACTTTTCAAATATTTGAAATGTGGGCATACAGAGGAGGGGCAGGATCTGTTCTTGATCATCCCAAAGTGCAGGACATGTAATAATGGGTTCAAGTTACAGGAAGCCAGATTTCTGTTGAATGTCAGGAAAAACCTCCTAACTGTTAGAGCAGTAAGACAGTGGAACTAGTTACCTCTAGAGGTGATGAGTGCTCTCAATACTGGAGGCATTCAAGAGAAATTTAGACAACCACCTGGCAGATATCCTTTGACTTGTATTCCTGTAATGAGCAGGGGATTGGATTCGATGGCTTTATAGGCCCCGTCTTCTAATTTCTTACTTTTTTGAAGGTGTGAGACCAGACGTGAGAGAGAGAGACCCCTCTCATGGGAGTGCTGACCCTCTCGCCAACCGCTGAGAAAGAAAGTCAGACCCCACCAGTTCCCCCACCCAGGAAGACAAGACCACCCAGACCAGACCCGGGGAACATAGAGAAGAGTTTAAACGAACTAACGGTTAAAGAGATCGGGACTCTCTTGGCGGGCGCAGGAGAAAAAGGATGGGAAGTAGTGGAGGCGGGTTTGGGTGATATAAAAGGAGGAGAAAGGGAGTTACCGGGTAATCAGGAATGGATTTGGATAGAAGACCCTTGGACGGGGCAAGTGGAAAAGCTAAGAAAGGAAGAAGCGGATGCATGGAGGAGGAGAGAACTCACTCCCAAACCATCATATTGGGTGAGAAAGAGACTAAGGAGTGGTGAAAGAAGTTAAGGGAAGAGAAGGAGAAGGTTGAGAGGGAGCAGAAAGAGAGGTTGAAATGGAGGATGTGGGAGATGCATTAGAGGGGAATTGAGAGACCCCATGGAAGACAGGGGAACCCACCCTGGGTGGACTTTAGAGAGGAGGACACCACCCCTCTATTGGAAGGAGAGGAAGGATTATTATTAAACCCGGACACCCTGCCCAAGTGGCCCGGTCCCTGGAATGTTCAGAGTGGAAACCCTTTTAAGTTTGAAGTTGGAAACCCCCGGTTGACCGGTTGTCTGATGGGGAGAAAGCTCGGAACACATTCGTTGATGCCGGACTGTTATTAAATAATCCAATAAATGTTACCCCTATTGCAAAACCTAAGAAATCTGGTGATTCATTTGGAGTAAATGTAGAGCCACACTTAGAACCCTCACAGAAGGTGCCTGTTTTTGTTGTAGTCAAGAATAGTTAATTTCCCCTCATTATAGCCCCTTCCATACATACATATATGGTACAGCAGCTAATATTTTACAGAGAAACACAAGTGGCAGATACACAAACTGGTGTTCATGTCCCCAGGAAAAGCAAACCATTGACTACTTAATAATTAGCTAGTGCAATTCTGATGTGGCAGAAATCACTCTAGTGTGTTTACAAACACAGATCTGTTGCATGACATGGAATTATCATTTGGCTTTTCCTTTTGCTAGGAGTACTGAGTTTGGAAGAGTTCAAGCGGCTGAACATCCGGGACTTCCACAAGTATATGGGAAGCCAAAAAGTGAAGATGAGTGACCTTGTGCGGAACAGCCAGCATACATGGTTGTATCAAGGCGAGGGGGCGCACCAAGTCATGCGCTCTATACAGCAAAGGTAGGTATACTCTTGGGGAAAGGTTATATTAATTATATATTAATCATATGTGATTTAATTAAAATCTAAATGTATACATTTCTATGTTACTGTTTTGAAAGTAATGAAAGGGTATTATTACTGATAAGTTTGAGATGATGTATAATAATGCTATTTATTTGTTTTTCTAAAACAAAAAGGGGATTAATTAAGAGTGAATTCCTTGTCCGTTAAACTTTAATGGATACAGAGATGCAACCCATGTGCATGGAGAGTGTTTAAACCATTTCCCCCTCCTCTACAGTCCTAATAAAAATCCTCTTCTCCTCCCCTCCCCATTCCCTTGCTTTCTTGAAGCTGGCATCTGTGCTAGGAGAGAAGCTGACATTGGCACCAGGAGAACCTTTTTCATAAAAGAGCATAATCCTGAGTATATTTATTCAAATGTAAATCTCACTGAATTAAGTCAGTCTTAATCCTTACTCCAGAAGTAGAGAACTTCAGGCCCTGGGATCAAATACAGCACTACTAAGGTCCCCATGTGGTCTTCTGGGGTTCCTCAGAGGGTCACATGTCCTTCCCCACAACACCGTTATACAGTACATGGGTGAGGGGATATCTCTGCACTAGGACTTTTGTCTCATCTTTTACCTCTAGCCCTGCTCAGCACTAGAATATGACGTTTCTGTGAAACTGAATGTGGCTTTCAGCAAGGCTGCTTAGTCTAATCAGTGTGCTTAGGATTTCTTTCTTTCTTTTTTTTTCTTAATTAATTAACTAACTAGACAACAGTGTTTCAGCTCTCCTTAATGAGGTTATCTTCTGTGCTTCTGATGTGTCTTAGGCAAGGTGTCTTTGTATTTTTATAAAGATCAGTATAGAGGCTTTCTTCCTTTGCAGCCATTCAAAAAAATAAGGAAAGAGAACAATCTCCAATTCTTTGGATTCATCTGCATTACTGCTTTATAAACAAATACTGAGAAGTTTTGTATAAATTATTTCTGAAAAATCAGCTGTCTTAAAAGAGGAAGCGAATGTGAATGTTATTTTATATCATTAACACAGACAACTGCTTTGAAGGCCAGTGGGTAACTGTCTTGGTCTTGTCTGGTATAACTCTTGTGTCGTCTTCGGGGTCACATGCTGGGAATATTTGCAGAAGTGTGTACAGCCGAGTAGCTCTATTGGCATGCCTCTGCTTCTCCTTCTTCAGGGTGATTCATTTAACCCGTTTGCCCCCAGAGATTGTGGAGCACAGTGAACCCTTGCAGGTGGTGCGTTATGACCAGGGAGGGCACTACCATGCCCACATGGACAGTGGACCAGTGTTCCCTGAGACTGCCTGCAGCCACACCAAGCTGATTGCCAATGAAACAACTGCGTTTGAAACCTCATGCCGGTGAGTTTAAAATGTGAAAAGAAGAGTCCGGGTCTTCTGTTCTGTTTATGGTTTTGTGGTATACATTATACTGTAGTAGGATCTGTGTGGTACTTTAGAGCAGGGGTCCCCAACCTTTTTCGCCCCACAGACCGGCTGGGGAAGGCGGGGCACACCCCGTGCTTGTGCGCGAACGAGCGCTCTCTCACACACGAATGCGTGTGCACTTGTGTGCGTGTGTAAATGGCAACATGGCGCATGCACAAATGGCAGTGCGGTGCTTGCACGGGCGTGCTGGAGTGCGCATGCTCAAATCAGCTGTGCAGGTGAGTCTGTGTGGGGGGAGGCACAGGAAGTCTGTCTCCGTGGCCCAATCCAGCTCAGGCCACGGACTGGGGGTTGGGGGCCTCTGCTTTAGAGAACATTTATATGCCTTCTGGCCTGTACTTTGGCTTTTTTTTTNNNTTGGAACAGATTAATGCTTGCAATCATTAGCCCACCTCCTGAAACCTATGCAAACTTAACTTGGTGTTGTTCTGAGTCGCGGTTAATTTTTGGTGATTTTTTTCTCTCTCATTGAAAAGCATTTCCAATGAGAGAGAAAAAAAATCACCAAACACCAAATTAAGTTTGCATAGGTTTCAGGAGGTGGGCTAATGATTGCAAGCATTAATCTGTTCCAATTGGAACGGATTAACTGGTTTTCAATGCATTCCTATGGGAAATGGTGTTTCACTTAACGATGTTTTCACATAACGATTTTTTTTATGGAACCAATTAACATCGTTAAGCGAGGCACCACTGTACTGCTGAGGTGCTCCTGCTGAGCTTGCAGGTGTGACTGGCTATGAAATGAATCAGGGAGCACAGAGAGAAGCTGCAGCTCCTGTATTCACAAATATGCAAAGTAATGGGAGTGCTCCAAAGCCTAACTTACAACAACTACCCTTTCTTTTATAGTTATGTCACAGTACTCTTCTACCTAAATAATGTGACAGGAGGCGGAGAAACCACTTTTCCTATAGCTGACAACAGAACCTATGAAGAATTGGTAAGAGTCTGTTCAAGAATTGCTTTCATTCTGTTTCTGTAAAATTAGAATAAGATTTCTTTGCCATTATTTTATATTAAAGGTCTGAGAACTAAATGTATCACTGGACTAAAATGTCAAAGGTTTTGCAAAAGAAACATGTAAAATCTTAAAACGTAAGAGCTTTGCAATTGAGTTGCAATTGTAAGAATGTTTTCTGAAGAGTAAGCTTGTGTGAACATAGTGGGACCAAGAAACTTGCATAGGATTGCACTATTGAAACAATCCGTTACGTTGGCATGCATTAGAAACAGCAGTTTGTAAACAGGAAGCATATTGCATTTTTTTTAGACCATTGGTTCCCAAGTTTGGGTAACCCAGGTGTTCTTTCTTTCTTTCTTTCTTGAAGGCCTGCCAAGAGCCAGGTCTTCAGTTTACTCTTAAAAACTCCCAGTGAGGGAGCCAGACGGGAGTCTCTCATCTCCGTGCAGAGGGGAGGATGTTCCAAAGGCAAAGGGCCACTGCCGAGAAGGCCCAGTTTCTAGTTTTTTTCTTCTGAGCCTCTCTCAAAGTTAAGCCCCTCAGCCGCCCAGTCTGGCTAGAACAAGTGACGCGGGTAGAATAAGGTGGAAGAAGGAGCTCTGTCTACCGAGGTTCTAAACCGTTTAGGGCTTTCTATGTAATCATTAGAACCTTGAAATCGATGCGGAATCTAACTGGTAACCAGTGTAAGATGGCCAGAGTGGGGGAAATATGCTGATATTTTTTTCACCCCAGTAACCCAGTGTTCTGGACCATTTGAAGTTTCCACATCAATCTCAAGGGAAGTCCCATGTAGAGTGCATTGCAGGGACCCTACAAATGAGGAACCATGGGGCCGATACATTCTCTCCAAGCTGAACTCTCTGAGAACTCAGAGAGCCTCCCCAGGAGGATACCGTGATCAACGGTATCAAAGGCAGCTGAGATGTCGAGGAAAACCAACGAGGACATTTTGCCTCTGTCGGCCTCCCTCAATAGGTCATCTAGCGGAGTGACCAATGCCGTTTCCATTCCATGGTGTGGCCTGAAGGCCGACTGAAATGGATCCAGGGCACTGGTTTCATCCAAAAGGGCCTGAAGCTGATTGGCCACCACCCTCTCTACTACCTTGCTAAGGAAAGAAACATTGGTAACAGGCCTGTAATTGCCTATGTTGTGTCTGCCACCAAGCTCGGTGTCTTCCTAATGGGTCCAGTGAGTGTCTCCTTAAGGGCAAGAATCGCAGTCCAAGAATTACAGTTCTTGGACTGCAGTTCTCAGAAGCTTTCACCACTTGGAGTTTCTGGGACTCCAAGAACACTTGAATTACCCAAGGTTGAGAACAGTTATTTTAGACAGACCATACACATATTGTAAGCATCTTCTTAGAGGCATTGCTCCTATGTACTTTGTACAATTTGGATATTTATATTAAACAGTCCAAAATGCTGTTAAGAAAAAGAGCAGTTGTGTCAGTGCCCTCTCCCACAACTATCTTTCACAGGACATGGGCCTGATTTTACAATCCGTACATGGCTGGTTGCTCAAAAGACAGCTCACTGGAAGAAGGAACCTGGGTAGAACCCTCTTCCATGATTGTCCTTCTGCTCCACATTTCCTCAACAGGAGCCTTCTTCTTCATCCTTCTTCCTTCTCTTCTTCCTCCTCCTCTTCTTCCTCCTCTTCCTCCTCCTCCATCCACACTTCTTTTAATTTTGATTGATTAATTGGTTAAACATTGCAGATGTTAAAAGTAATAGGTCATATTGAATCTGATGGAAGGAACCATACTTTTATTTAGATAATCAGTCTATGCAACACTAATTTGTTATGAAGGGGATTCAGAGAGCTTTCCTTAAAACAGCACCTGTCTCAGAAGAAGATTGTTCAAATAACAATCCTTTTTTTCTGGAAAAAATACTGCTTCTCATGTGTGCCGTGGTTGCATGAATGTACTGGAAATTATCTCTAATTCATATGTAATGTGCAAAATAGATCCTTGCAGTCCCCTATTCATATCATCTTCCAAACATATAAAAGGTTATCATGCTTTAAGAAAAATCTCTAGAATCACAAGTTGAATACTGTACTGCCCTACTGTATCATTCATGCAAGGAACTATGATGTAGACTTACAGGAAAATGGGGAACACCAGTTATGCCATTCTTGGTTCTCTCTCTAAAACTAATTGCTTTCCTAATTGCCTGTGATCACTCACTTTCTTTGTTCTGTGATCACCTTTATCATTAGCCTTTTCCTTTTGTGATCACTGCTACAATATGACATGTAGCATCTAATTAACAAGTCCTCAACTAAATGTATTCTTTTCTTTACCATATTTTTATCCTACTTTTCTTCCAATTAAAATCAAAGTTCTTTTATCAGTGTGGAAGAGATCTAGGTATGTAAAAGGTGATGCAAATATGGAAATAAATGTGACCCTTTGTTGTATTCATGAAGGGTTTCATGCCCGGGATCTAATTGTTGTTGTGGGTTTTTCGGGCTCTTTGGCCATGTTCTGAAGGTTGTTCTTCCTAACGTTTTGCCAATCTCTGTCACGTGACTGGCATCTTCAGAGGACAGGAGTAGCACTCTGTGCTGTGTTCTTCTGTGACCAGAGCACAGAGTTCCTACTCCTGTCCTCTGAAGATGCCGGCCACAGAGACTGGCAAAACATTAGGAAGAACAACCTTCAGAAAACAGCCAAAGAGCCCGAAAAACCCACAACAACCCTTTGTTGTTTGGATTTTCCTGTTTTTGCTGCAGTACAATGAATGTTTTCCTCTTTTTCAACTTAGTCTCTCATTCAGAATGATGTTGACCTACGTGACACTCGTAAACACTGTGATAAAGGAAATCTACGTGTAAAACCCCTGCAAGGCACTGCTGTCTTCTGGTACAATTACCTGTCAGATGGAGAAGGTAATATATTTTCTCAGGGCAACAGCCTACTACCAGGATTCCTGAGCTGTGTTACAGTAGAGGGTTATGAGAAAGCCTAGAACAAAGAGTTGTGATCACATGAGATTTAATTTCTCTTACTTGTGGTTTGTGTGTTCATGTGTTCTTCTTCTACTTGCAGGGTGGGTTGGTGACCTAGATGAATATTCCTTGCATGGAGGCTGCTTGGTCACTGAAGGAACTAAATGGATAGCCAACAATTGGATCAATGTTGATCCCAACAAGCGAAGGCAGCTCCAGTTCCAAGAGGAGATGGCTCGATACACAAACAATGAGGAAGAAGACCAGAATGAATGGACTGTGGACAAATCCTACAGTAATGTACATGTGGAACTGTAGTGCTTGGAGGGAAATGTCTTCATTGATGTTGAAGAAAGCTTTCTCACCAGCCTCAGCCTTGTAATCTTCTAGCCTTTCCCCATCCCCACATACCTCCACAGAGAGTGGTAGCTGTGCTCCAGCCTTATGTTTCTGATTAGACTGGAAGAAGCACAGACTTGATGGGCATACATGGTCAAGAATGCAGTTTGAGGGAGAAGAGGTAACAGAATAGGCTGGAGAAGTGTCAGTGCTTAGCTTCTCGGAATACATATATGTATCTTCATTGAATTGCTGGCTGGATTTGCTGCAGGAGATTCTGGATTTCTGAGTTAGGCTTCCCTTGGCTCCTTAGCATGTGCAAGCAGCCTGCAGGATCTTTGGGCTATATTTTCCAGAAGATGAAGAAAAGCAGTTCTTCATCTTCTGCTTCAGCTGGATTTGGAGCTGCATTCCTGGTGCCTGACTTTCTCTCCTGCAGTCACAAGGCATCCACTTAGAAAGTGAACTTGGGTCATATGACTCAAGATCCAATCATTTATAGATCTGGGTGGCAGGAGGATCCCACATTAGCAAAACTGGTCTTGGAAAATTTCTGCTGCTCATAATAGGCCATTCACTACAGAGTATAGCTGTTATTTTTAGCTATTGCAAGCATGAGTGACTATCTTCCCGTGCTTTTATGTGCACTTCTATTCAGAAGTCAGGCCCATTGCATTCCATGGAGCTTATCTCCAGCAAAATGTGTGTAGGGTTGCAGGTGTAAGTACATATGAATACAAATGGACCTTGAGCAACTATGTGTTACGAAGACGCAGGGATTAGAAAGGTAATTCCAGGTGATTTTAAATACTCATCCTGGACAATTTTTCTCAGGGTTAGACATGGTTCTGTATAAGAACATGATTGTGAAATGTTTATAGTATTGATTATCAGGGAAAAAGGGAGGTACTCAATTGTGCATTAGCGGCTGGTGTACTGTATTTTTTGAGATTGTCACTTCAGAAGCTTGATTTGAGTACTGAGGTTTCCTTGATGTAAATCTGAGAGTTTTTGCCCAAGAAATATTTTATTCCATTACCTTTTTTTTAATTTGGCCAACAGCATATTCAGTTATGCTTCATTCTGACAGATAAATACAATATATGCAAATTGGAAGCAGCTGAGTCTCAGTCCTGAACCTAGGAATAGTCCTGCTGGATCAAACCAAAGGGCCATCCACAACGGGCCAACTAGATGCCACTAAGAAGCCCATGAGGTCAATAGTCTTCTGCTATTCCAGGCATTTGGCCACATGCTGCTACTGAACATAGACATGCCATATAGTCACTAGGAAAATTGGCAGACAAATCCTTCCTGAATTTGTCTAATCCACTGAACTACAGTAATTGCAGTATTCGAATACACCACGTGGTTGTGATTTCCGTGAATCAGTTATACATTGTGGCTAGAAATGCTGTCTGTGGTCTTTCCTTAATAGTCTCCATACCATGCATAGTTTGATATACCTCAGCCATGTTGATCTTAGTTGCGTTCTTTTTTTAAAACTAAAAACCCCAGTCCATCTAGTCTTTCTCCATGGGACAGGTGCCTCACCCCTCTAATCATTTTGCTTATCGTTTTCCGGCTCTTCCCCAACTGTACAATATCTGTTTCAAGATGGAACTACAGTACTAGAAGGGCTTTTTACTTAAACCTAAAGCAGAAGCCATAGATCACCCCTTCCATTGTATCTTGAGAATGCTAATCCGTGTCCATAACAAAGAGGGATTAGAGATAGGAAAGAAGATAAGAACATGGCAGTTCAGTGAGATACAGGAAAAAATTCTGTAGCACTGTATTGTACCATATGAGGCTTATGGCTGTAGGCAAACATGTCCAACTCTGTTAAGAAATGTGGAATTAGTTACTTGTTTTTCCGACACCAGAAAAATGTATCTGCCTGCAAAGTCCCCCATCTTGAATAGAGGTAAATTGCAGGATTTAACTATACACGTTACTGCAGAGAACAGGAATGCCTCTGTTTGACCTTGTAGTTCATAGCCTGAAAAAAAAATGGCTGAAACCCTGTTGCTTTGTTGTGTATGCAGAAGGCAAACGCTAACAGTTAACAAGGCCCTGCTGGGATTCTCAAACATGCACCAAGTCAGAACAGATACCCACACTCCAGGGAATCCCAGCAGCCATTCATTAATTGCCAGCTAGAAGCAACTGCATGTTATGTCATTTGCCTTCCCATATGTAACAAATAATAGGATTTCAGCCAGTTCTCTTAAAACCCTACTTGTTCATCTGCCATATATATATATATATATTCATTCAGTGGAGAGTAGATTGATCGTGATACCAATATCTGAACATTATTTTTAGTTGCTCAATCTTGATGAGTGAATAGAAAGTTTCCTCCCATTGTATACTTTCCATTATTCCACTTCCATTTTGATATTTCTGTTTCTTCTGAATGCTTTGGGACTTTTGAATTAGACAATGTTGCCTTTAACACAGCCATCATGTGATTGGGATTCCTGCCTAGTGCCTCCAGTGCTGTCCAGAGGATGCTAAGCAGTAGAGCATTTCTCATGCTGCAAAATGTTGTCCTTTTCTGTAAGTTTCCCTGAAGAAAAATCTGATATTAGTGTGTAGTGTTGTTATATATTGAGATGGGTTTAGGCCTATAGTGAATGAATTTGTTCCAAAGAATAAGTAGAATTCACAATCCTTTTTTTTTTTTTAATTGGGACATTTCTTTTGCCTAAGATAAAGATCTGCCCAACTAATGAGCAATGAAGCCAAGCACAGCTCACATCAGCCAGGTATTGTGATCTGTTAGGCACTTCATTTTTGTATTCTCAAGCAGATGATGAAAGAGTAGGCTTATCAAAATCCTAGTTTATAGTGTTTGATGGGTTGCAAGCTGTGCTGTTCTGCCTTTGCGTTAGCAACATGCTTTATAACTGGGTGATGTTAACAGGTTTGTTACCTGCACAGCCCTGTGCCCACCACATTTTAAACAGACCTTAGTAGGTTGCTTATACAGTGGTGTCTTGACTTATGAACTTAATCCATCCCAGAAGATGTTCTTAAGTCGAAACATTCATACGTCAAATCAGCATTTCCCATAGGAATGCATTGAAAACTGATTACAATGGTGACCCACTAGACGCTTACCCCGCATGACGTCGAAATCGCTTGATGATGACATATCTGCGATTGCTATTGCGATTGCAAAACAATGGTTCCAATGGGGCAAATCCGCTTTACATTATTAGGAGCCTGCTTTGTGAACTGTTTGTTCGCAAAACGATGTTTTTTCTGTCTCCGCAAAATGGCTTCCCTCCTCAAAATGGCTGCTTTCCGGACAGAAGCTTCGCATTACAGCAGTTTTGAACAGCTGATCGGCAATTCTCTATGGGCAATCTTCGCTGGACAATGAGGTATTTTCCCCATTTGAACGCATTGACCAGTTTTCAATGGGGATTTTTTTTCCGCTTGACGACGATTTCACTTAATAGCAATTTTGCTGGAAAGCATTATCGTCGTCAAGCAGGGCACCACTGTAATCTGTTCTGGCTGTTTTTTGTTCTTATGTAGAGGCACGGTTTGTAAGGAAGTTCCCATAGGAACTAATGCAAACCTGGTTAATCTGTCCTCTACCACTAGGGGGAGAATTTTTCTTTTTTTAACCTAAGATGGCTTAGAATTTTTCTTTTTTTAACCTAAGATGAGTGGTCCGGTGGTCCAGATAGGCGGGGTATAAATCAAATAAATAAATAAATAAATAAATAAATAAATAAATAAATAAATAAATAAGGGCAGAAAAGGAGGGAAGGAGGAAGGGAACAATGGGGGAAAGAGGAAAGAAAGAAGGTCATCACTGGGGCACACAGACCTCTCAGACAAAGGTTTGTGCTTTTAAGCACAAAGAGAGAGAAGACAGAGAGAGAGAAGACAATGGGGGGGACTGAGTCTAAACTGCATAAGAGAGGTCACAGTACACAAACCCTAGAAGCCAACGAATGCAAAAATAAATAAATTTTAAAATTGAAAATTACTGTACAGTCTAATTTTCATACTTAATTTTAATTTAATATTATGGTCTACTTTTCACATTTTAAATCTACACTGCAAGACCCATCAGAGCACAGAAAAATACCCCCACCTAGTCCTATCCCCCCCATCAAGCTGCAAAATAAACCCTGTACAGTAAATACAGTGTACTCACCTGGAACAGGCAGTCTCTCTTTTGACTTTTTTTAAAGTAAAAAATCCAAACATCAACAATTTAAAAAAGACAAAAATATAGTCCGTACAGTATAGTAACAGGCAGTAACAGGCAGTCCAAAGTCTCTCTCCGTATCCACTCACTTAACCACTGGGACAAGCGAGGTAGCAGACAAGCAGCCTCTTCGCTGGCCAATGGTTAACTGAAAGTTCACATTTCATGCTTTCCCCGCCACCTCTGCATTTTTTCCATTCGCAAGTCAAAGCAAAATTTTGCGAACGGCGATGTTTCTAAGTCGGGACGTTTGTAAGTCAAGGCACCACTGTATTTTAATGAAATATGCTTAGGATTGTCATTTCACTGCAGTCATGCTGTAAGGTTTCTCGTGTAGGGGTGGAAATTAAGTATCTACTCTTCTGATGGAATATTGTGAGACTAGTGACCTGTTCCTTAAATTTTCTTCCTTCTTGAGATGTGTCCTTGGTTTTACAAATCTTATCACTTAGCAAAGTTTACTGGCCAATTTAGATGTCACCTTTAATAGCTAATTAATATCAGGAATCTGGGCTGTCTCATTTAGTACTAGTCAAGTACAAATGTATCGAATGCAAAATAATGCTCTTATTTTGCAGTTCACCCGGAAGTAAGACTTTGTTTTGTGCAGTGTGTACATGTTCCAGAGAGAAAGCATACTTCTTGCTGAGATACTTACGTTCTTCTAGCCACGACTAAGGTACAACCGTGTACGGTTTTCTGTGGTTTTAAGAAGCCATCAACTGGATAAACCCTCAAGGTTTGATCCACAAAACAATAGTCCCTGATCCAGGAAGAGAGGAGTGTTTTAAGCAGTTGAATAGCCTGAGGATCACTAGTTTTCCAGTTGCCTGGAACGCATTAAGTTTTCTGTTTTTACCAACCATCCTGGAATGGGGGAAGATGGCCTCAGCACAAGTTGTTTTGCTTTGCCCAGTGGCATGACATGTGTACCCAAACCTACAACTAAACCTCTTATTAACTTTCGATAGTTTTGACTGACCTGATCTTGGTTATAGGTAACCAACCAGCATTGATTTTTTTATTATTGTGTGTTTCCCCACTCTCCTGTATTTCTAAATAAGTTATTTTTTTAATTTAATAAATTATTTAATTTATTGTGCCCCATGCACAAATGTCAGGCTGTTTATCCTGCAAATAAAAGTTTGAAATGCATTTGTTGCCTTGAGCTTCCTGTTCCTTACTCGTATGTTTTCCATGCAATTATTACATCTGTAACTCCTCTTTTGAGGGGGTTAACCAAAACAGCTTAGTTAGTTCATTAGACTATTAGTACATAATATTTCCAATGTTAAATGTTAGAAGTGAAAGCAAAACCCCTTTTCACAGAAGCATTCTCTTTGTTTTCTGGATTCTTCTGTATTACAGCATCACTGTAATATGGCTTTTAGTCTTCTTGCACACAAGAAACAATCTTTCCATTCCTCTCAGTGTCAGTGGTCCTCTGCTGAGCAGTTGAGTTGACGTGTATAACTGAGTGTGAAAATTAGGCAGGTGCCCTCTCAGTGCATCTGCCTGACAAGAGTTTGGTAGAACCTTCTTTTCTCTCTCTTTGGTCATAGGGTGTTCAAAGCAGTAGAACTGACTGATCAGGCCCCATTTTACTTGGTACTTTAGCCAGAAAGAGAAGGAACAAAGTGAAAAAAGAGCAGCAGTTCCTCTTTCTCTTTCAAGGCATGCACCTGATCTCCCCACTATATTAGCCATCTCTATCCATCCCTTCTGTTTTTAACATTTTAAAGCTGTGCAGTTCTTTTATATTTTTATATCTGGGGTTTGGGTGTTATGTAGTTATATTCGTGATGTGGCAAAGCTGCTAGATACAGAGGTATAGAATGAATGAATGAATGAATGAATGAATGAATGAATGAATGAATGAATGAATGAATGAATGAATGAATGAATGAATGAATGAATGGAATGAATGAATTCCCAGTGTGGCTGAAGGGATTAGGAGACTGAGAAATATGGAATGTTTACATTCAACACCAATACACACACACACACACACGTTTCCATGGAGTCCTTGATATTATACTTGCAACCCTTTAACTTCTTTTATAGCCATGAATATGTAATTCAGATTCTGCACATTAGCAGCCTTTGTCTTGCCCACAGCTGGGAACCCCATAATCAGGTACACTGCATATATCACCCTATGACCTAAGTTTTGTACACCATGTATGTACCTGAGGAAACAGATTGCAGTCCAGAAAAGCTCACACTGAAATATCCTGGGGTTCCAAGTAGCCGTTGTTCCTTGCTTGATTCAGTCAGTCAGTCAGTCTTAAAAGAAGCCATTGTTGATCGATCGCCTTCCTTCCTCATGCAGCGGACTAACTTTGAAAACTGATTTCAGTAGTCCCTAGTCATGTCAACTGTCATTTGCAGCTCCCAATACTGTATTTCCTAGAGATCACCGGCAATTAACTGCCCTCTGCTTTGGTGCATCCGCCCTCCATCCAGCACAGGGTATGGGCACTTTCTGATGGGCAAGATCAGCTCCCTTTTCTGCGGTCTCCGGCAAACCGGACTTAAACCAGTGGCAGAAAGCTTTCGGTTCTCCAAATGTTGTTCGGCTCCCATCATCCTTCAACCTGAATTGGGTCAGTGAGAGCTGCCAGTCCAGGTCCCCGGAGCGCCACGTTTCCCCCACCCCCCCCCCCCGACTCCTCGGACACGGTTATCACGATATGAGGGCGAGTGGTTTCCAGCCGAGGGGCGACAGTCCCGCCGCTCAATGGTCACAAGTTCGAGCATCTCAAAAGGTGTCGCTGTGCCTTTAAGGCGGCCGCTTTCGGTCTCCGGGCCCTTCGCGACCGTCGAATGTCGTGACTTGATAAAGCACTCCTCCCGCCCCTTAGCAACCGCTAGCCAGTGACAGCCTTACTCGAGCTTTCCCATTGGTGTGTCGGGAGGGCGCGAGGTAAGAGGGGGCTGGCTTGTTTTCCCGGCTTGGTTCAAGAAGGGGGTTGCTTCGGACCCCCCCTTCCTGGTATCCACGTCTCGCTTCTAGTTCTGCGCGCGGGGGTGGGGGTGGGGGACGGTGTCAGTGCAGGGCCTCCTCGTGAAGCAGGTGCGGCCGTGGCGGAGCTGCCCGC